AAAGGCAAACTCACCAGATCTGTAGAATGCCTGATGATTCAAAAAGTTTTTGTGAAAAGTTTTGTCACTCTGATAAAGATTGATCATGGTTGTAATGCAATTCGTTTACAGTTTTATATGAGCACACAAACTGGCAATATATCAGACACAAGGAAGGTATGGTCCATTCGGGAACCGTCGGGCCTTTCCTTAACACATATTTTTGAAATAGTTAAAATACTTGTATCACGGAATTAGATTAGATTAGATTGCTATCTTAGTCCGTGCTTGTATTTTCTTGTTTACGGAAAGTGCCGACGGTTCCCGATTGCACACGGTCTTATTGCAGTCAAGAATAAAATGGCTTCCACGTAAGACAAGTATACAAATATTACTTTTTATATGATGGGTATATAGATTCTGATGAAATAATCGGCATGATGGTACGAGGCGACTAATGTGGGTTTATTTGTAGTCTTCTATGTCAAGGGAACTTTGCAGAATAAACTATCAAATATCATTTGATCTGACCACTAGCTGACCACTGCTATACATAGGATCACACTTCCTGTGTCACATAAAAGTACTTTCGTGCTGACGTATCATCTGCTGCTGTGTAACGCCTTTTTATTTCAAAACCATGACTTCTCATAAGGTTACCGCGATATAGCCATAGCCAGGAATTAGAACACTTTCACTAAACATCCTGCGCCATTTTGGATTTTAATCGGAGTCAGACATTTTGTAAGGACAAATGCATACAACATTCACGTGGATTAGGGAAATTGTTTCAAATTTTGATAGTTTTCAAAGACCTTTTTTATGTTTTGTATGTACAACACAATAGTTTAAAATGGTATTTAAAAGTTTGTTATATCTTCGGTCTCTTGTCCGGAATACGAAGCCATGTTAATTTAAGCTGTAAATACAAAGAAAGCGTAGAAGGGTTATTGGCCGATCGTACATACGACCTGAAACCTACAATTTACAGCTACATGTCGTCATAAATACCTAGTTTTTGCCAATCCACCTTCTCTGAAACAATTATTAAATACAACTCAGCTGACTGTGAGCGAACACCTGGTGCTATACTTCAATATTTGTTTCCAAATGTGAAGCAGAATATAACCACTTGATTATTTTTTCAATGATCTCATTACAATCTACAGTTTGTTCTTTTCATTCAGGCTTGTCTATCGATTGTGACGCTGTCATTTCTAGTTGTTTTAATACATTTGTGTCTATAGAAAGTGAGCGTTGGCCTCGCATTGCTATATAAGTCTTGTCTAACGAAACTGACCACTGGCCTGGTTGCTCGTTGCAGTATTACAATCTTGTTTAAGTGAGCGTTGGCCTTTCATTGCTATGTAAGCCTAATCTAACGAAAAACTGACCACTGGATTCCCGTTGCAGTATTACAATCTTGTCTAAGTGAGCGTTGACCTTTCATTCCTATATTACAGTCTTGTCTAACGAAACTGACCACTGGATTCTCGTTGCAGTATTACAATCTTGTCTAAGTGACCATTGACCTCTCATTGGTTTTTTTTTCAATCTTTTCTATCGAAATCGACCATTGGGCTCTCATTTCTATTTCATCTTGTCCATCGTAATAACTGTTTGCTCTTCTTTGTTTAATTAGTTGTTCACCGAAAGCGAGTCCTTCTCTCATTGCTGTTATCAGCAATCCTTGTAAACAAACGGTAGCCGTGTTTAAATAAGGGACAAGCGGATTAATTTTTGAGCCCCATTTAATTTCAAGACCGTATGGTTTTCTAGTCCGATGTCTATGTATTTTATATTTTCGAGTTCAGTTAACTTTCAAGGCAGTCTTTTTGCGAGTTCAGTCAATTTTCAAGACTTTATATTGCCAAGTCCATTTAACTTTCAAGTAAGTCTCATTTTTGAGTCCAGTTAGCATGTCATCCTCTATATTTACACGAACGTCTTTTGACCATATGCCTACTAGATCGGGCTTTATGCTTCATGTCCCACGATGTCACTGCTCGTGGGGAGGAATTCCTGAGTGTGTTATTGTGTTTAGGAGTCAAGTCCGACAGCCATATTCGTATGTATCAATCCTAAGTGTTATTGTATTTAGGAGTCAAGTCAGACAGCCATATTCGTATGTATGTAAGTGTTATTGTATTTAGGAGTTAAGTCAGACAGCCATATTCGTATGTATCAATCCCAAGTGTTATTGAATTTAGGAGTTAAGTCAGACAGCCAAATTCCTATGTATCAATCCTAAGTGTTATTGTATTTAGGAGTCAAGTCATACAGGCAAATTCTTATGTATCAATCCTAAGTGTGTTATTGTATTTAGGAGTCAAATCATACAGCCAAATCTCATGTATCAATCTTAAGTGTGTTGTTGTATTTAGGAGTCAAGTCATACAGGCAAATTCTTATGTATCAATCCTAAGTGTGTTATTGTATTTAGGAGTCAAGTCAGACAGCCAAATTCTTATGTATCAATCCTAAGTGTGTTGTTGTATTTAGGAGTTAAGTCAGACAGCCAAATTCTTATGTATCAATCCTAAGTGTGTTGTTGTATTTAGGAGTTAAGTCAGACAGCCAAATTCTTATGTATCAATCCTAAGTGTGTTGTTGTATTTAGGAGTTAAGTCAGACAGCCAAATTCTTATGTATCAATCCTAAGTGTGTTGTTGTATTTAGGAGTTAAGTCAGACAGCCAAATTCTTATGTATCAATCCTAAGTGTTATTGTATTTAGGAGTCAAGTCATACAACCAAATTCTTATGTATCAATCCTAAGTGTGTTGTTGTATTTAGGAGTTAAGTCAGACAGCCAAATTCTTATGTATCAATCCTAAGTGTGTTGTTGTATTTAGGAGTTAAGTCAGACAGCCAAATTCTTATGTATCAATCCTAAGTGTGTTGTTGTATTTAGGAGTTAAGTCAGACAGCCAAATTCTTATGTATCAATCCTAAGTGTGTTGTTGTATTTAGGAGTTAAGTCAGACAGCCAAATTCTTATGTATCAATCCTAAGTGTTATTGTATTTAGGAGTCAAGTCATACAACCAAATTCTTATGTATCAATCCTAAGTGTGTTGTTGTATTTAGGAGTTAAGTCAGACAGCCAAATTCTTATGTATCAATCCTAAGTGTGTTGTTGTATTTAGGAGTTAAGTCAGACAGCCAAATTCTTATGTATCAATCCTAAGTGTGTTGTTGTATTTAGGAGTTAAGTCAGACAGCCAAATTCTTATGTATCAATCCTAAGTGTTATTGTATTTAGGAGTCAAGTCATACAACCAAATTCTTATGTATCAATCCTAAGTGTGTTGTTGTATTTAGGAGTTAAGTCAGACAGCCAAATTCTTATGTATCAATCCTAAGTGTGTTGTTGTATTTAGGAGTTAAGTCAGACAGCCAAATTCTTATGTATCAATCCTAAGTGTGTTTTTGTATTTAGGAGTTAAGTCAGACAGCCAAATTCTTATGTATCAATCCTAAGTGTGTTGTTGTATTTAGGAGTTAAGTCAGACAGCCAAATTCTTATGTATCAATCCTAAGTGTTATTGTATTTAGGAGTCAAGTCATACAACCAAATTCTTATGTATCAATCCTAAGTGTGTTGTTGTATTTAGGAGTTAAGTCAGACAGCCAAATTCTTATGTATCAATCCTAAGTGTGTTGTTGTATTTAGGAGTTAAGTCAGACAGCCAAATTCTTATGTATCAATCCTAAGTGTGTTGTTGTATTTAGGAGTTAAGTCAGACAGCCAAATTCTTATGTATCAATCCTAAGTGTTATTGTATTTAGGAGTCAAGTCATACAACCAAATTCTTATGTATCAATCCTAAGTGTGTTGTTGTATTTAGGAGTTAAGTCAGACAGCCAAATTCTTATGTATCAATCCTAAGTGTGTTGTTGTATTTAGGAGTTAAGTCAGACAGCCAAATTCTTATGTATCAATCCTAAGTGTGTTGTTGTATTTAGGAGTTAAGTCAGACAGCCAAATTCTTATGTATCAATCCTAAGTGTTATTGTATTTAGGAGTCAAGTCATACAACCAAATTCTTATGTATCAATCCTAAGTGTGTTGTTGTATTTAGGAGTTAAGTCAGACAGCCAAATTCTTATGTATCAATCCTAAGTGTGTTGTTGTATTTAGGAGTTAAGTCAGACAGCCAAATTCTTATGTATCAATCCTAAGTGTGTTGTTGTATTTAGGAGTTAAGTCAGACAGCCAAATTCTTATGTATCAATCCTAAGTGTTATTGTATTTAGGAGTCAAGTCATACAACCAAATTCTTATGTATCAATCCTAAGTGTGTTGTTGTATTTAGGAGTTAAGTCAGACAGCCAAATTCTTATGTATCAATCCTAAGTGTGTTGTTGTATTTAGGAGTTAAGTCAGACAGCCAAATTCTTATGTATCAATCCTAAGTGTTATTGTATTTAGGAGTCAAGGCAAACAGCCAAATTCTCATGTATCAATCCTAAGTGTGTTATTGTATTTAGGAGTCGAGTCATACAGCCAAATTCTTATGTATCAATCCTAAGTGTTATTGTATTTAGGAGTCAAGTCATACAGCCAAATTCTGATCTAAGTGTGTTATTGTATTAAGGAGTCAAGTCATACAGGCAAATTCTTATGTATCAATCCTAAGTGTGTTGTTGTATTTAGGAGTCAAGTCATACAGCCAAATTCTTATGTATCAATCCTAAGTGTGTTGTTGTATTTAGGAGTCAAGTCATACAGCCAAATTATTATGTATCAATCCTAAGTGTGTTGTTGTATTTAGGAGTCAAGTCATACAGCCAAATTCTTGTGTATTAATCCTAAGTGTGTTATTGTATTTAGGAGTTAAGTCAGACAGCCAAATTCTTGTGTATCAATTGAAGTTCAAATTTTCTTAAAATATTTGGAGTTTTCGTAAACTTGAACAACACCAGAGGTTATCATCTCCGTTTGGAGTAGACGTATTGTCTGATTTGGGAAAATAGTCCTCCATCTCAAGATGGAATCAACAACAAACTTGAGGATGTAAAATGTAATTATTTATTTAGGAATCAACAACAGCAAAAACAACAACATTTAATACGACCATGTAAACAGCATTCATTTGATATACTCCTACATACTCATTGGGACAGTAACATGTTTTGGCAAATATAAACAAACATGACACAGATTTGGATCATTGTCTAACTCTATCTCATGGATGATGTTAAAGTTTTAGTAAATAATGTGATAATCATATAAACTATTACAAACAAAGAGAACCAATAAATGAAATTTGACAATCAAGTTTACCAGTAAATATACTTGTATTAAACAGAGAACACTAATAATAAACATTGTTCTATCTATCTGTGTTAAATGATGAATCTTAATTGATGCTGTTTTCTTACCAGACCTGCAAGAATCAATGTAATTCACATTTCTACACTAACGTTATACTTGAAATAACTTGTACATACAATAAGACCATAGTTAAAGTTTTTGACAACCTTCAAATATTTTGAATTTTTTTCCAAACCCAGGCTATATGATAGAAACTTGTGTGGCTAAATCTCTGGGCTAAAAGGAACCCTCTTTTCACCTCTCTACAGGATGTATATTGGTGTGAAATATTGGGGTAATAACTGAACTCTGAATATGGTCTTTCGGCACATGAAACATAAAACAACCAATAACATAACAAAAGTAAATAATATTGTGAAAGTTCTTGGTTTTTTTTCTAGCATGAATACATTTGTCATGATCCATCTGGTCAATGTTTTTGGGCCTCGGATGTGACGTTCCTATCCCTCTGGTCATTATTTTGGGGCCTTGGACGCGACGTTCCGATCCCTCTTGATGTTTTAGTTGACAGCAGACCACGCGAAACACAATACATACAAACACAGTGATACTTGTTACATCACTCACAGGTGACCTTGACATGCATAGATGGACTGTTTGACCTTGACCTCTGTGTCGTCCCAAGCTTGTGTAGCTCCTCTGTATCGCAGTACTTTATAGAATCTTCAATGAACTCCCTTATTTCTCAGGTCATGATTTCGTAGATTGTGATCCATGATTTTAATGATTTTTAATCTTGATATAACAATAAATTGTCCAATAAAATCCTCATTTATGGGATGTGTCATTCATCGAGTCATATCGTTGAATTCCATATTTGGTTTGACCACTTGGAGAAAGTCTTTTGTTGTTGTTTGCTGTGGAGTAATGTTTGTTATTTCTCTCACACACACACGTACCAACATTGACAACAACAACTATACAACACACAAAGTAAAAATACAGCCCTGAATATGTCATGTCTCTGACAGGGTAGTAAATGATAATACACCTGTACTTCAAAAAGGATTATTTGAACACCGATTTCTGAACATTCATGTTAATTTATATGTCAGGTTAATACTTGTTATAAAGGTTGATTTGTGACCATATTTAGGGCTGGAAGTGTAGCATATACTTACGAGACCAATCACAGGCCTTACAAGTCCAGTCTGCTTCCAAATGTTCCGATTGTCAGATCGTTATCACAGTCAATAGGTAAGCTATAGGTTATCAATATATCGCTTTTGTATGTTATATCACTTCGAAAAAAAATTGAAGTATTTAATTGTTTAGATATCTATTGCACTTAATGAAGGCCGTAGCATTAACGGTGGAGAAACTGATATCTAAATTGGCCGGAGACCACCTAGGAAGCGTTAACTTAACAGGTCCTGGCCATGGGGAAGGTTCTTAGGAAGGTTTGGTGAGAAAGTCGGCATATTCTTGTATGGGAATTCCAATGTCTCGACACTTCTGGATGATTTTAGGCAAAACCTCTGATGACCTCTGGGTAACCTCAAACAGCAGATACTGAAAATACAAGACATGCGCTTCTGATTACACAAAATAACTGAAACAAATATCTAATTTTATTTTATATAAAAGAAACTTGCATATAATATTGCATAAGCTTTTCTACAGAACCTTGTATTGATTATTTACTCTTTATCCTATTATACACTAACGTTGATTGTTTAAGAATTACGACTTTGTAGATGAAATGAGGAATGGGGTAATTGACAGATTTCAGTACATCTTTCCATAGTGGGGCTGAGTACGGCAATGCTTGGACGGCTTTGTGGAATATCCGACGGACCTGTAAAAGAAACAGAATACAGACAATAAAATAAATAAATACAGAAACAGGCTCTGATAATACGACAAAGATCTTCAAAATCTAACTAGCACTGAAAATGGCTGTAGTTACCCCGCTATGCAATACACAGACATAGATAGACTCCACAATGGTGTATGAAACAAATCAGTCATAGACATGTACATTAAAATAGCTTATACTTGATGAAAATAATGATTACAAAATAATTGCAATGTTTAAACTTTGGTATACACTGTGCCATTATGATAGGTGATTCACTGTGATACCTACCTCCTTCCTCCCTTCTAATCGACTGGTCAGAGATATCAACCTGGAAACAAGATGTTTACACAACATTCACAACTACACACAAGTTTGTCTGACACCAAACGTATACCAGGTACAGGTCAAATACAACACCTGCGTACAACGGGAACATATTTAAATACTGTTATATAACCAACACACCTACAACACAGACTGATGAGAGAGACAGGTGGTCGACACACACAGCAGTGAAACCTGTCTAATCCGACATCCAAAGTATGACTCCTATGAACAGGATGTCAGGATATAGACAGACTGTTTTTATAAGTGACATAGAACATTAGACCATGTGGTAACCCACTAAATAGGATCTTGGAAGACATACTGTATACCTGGACATTTTTGCTGCAGTTAAAAATGTTTGTTTGCCCTCTGTGATGAGGGCAAATTTATCATTACGGTGAATACAAGTTAACATCATAATACATCGTAATGAAATGTGAGGTGCAAAATCAACACCAAGTGAAAATTTATTTTGTGTGTGAACGGCAAAAGTTTGACTGGGTGAAAACTTCCCCGCCTACAGTAGATATTTATTAGCAACAAGACCTTTGAGATTATGTGGTAATTACCCTCAAAACAGGATACCAGAACAAACACGTATCTTAGAACAAGCAATAAAGACATAATACGGATCAAGTAAAAGTAAAGTATAGGCTTACCAGCGCATTAGATTCAGATAGTTACTTCAAAATCTGTGATATAAAACTTACCTGATCCCCTGTGAGCTGTGGACAAACCAGGTTCTAAACCTTACATATACCACCATATCTATTGGTAGCATTGCTTTATATTGGTGAAAAATGACAAGAGAGAAAGTTGCAAACTTACAAAACTGGCACCATGTCTTAGGTACCACCTGAGGAACAAATTAAGTTGATCAACAACCGTTCCAACCAATACACATCCAATCTCTATAAATAGTGCCATGTTTGTATATTTCTGTCGAAATATCATAATTACATCTTTGTTGTGTCTACCGCACCACTAATAAATCCCTGCATACATTGGAATTCATACAAGCATTGATACAAAATATCATCATCTAAGTTAGTTAGGAACAATTTAGAAGACTGGTTTGACAATGACTGAGAGAAGTGTTTCTAGATATCGTTTTTCCGAGTTTCATATATTATCTGAGATATCATATTAAACCTGCAAAGTAACCTGTAGTTATAGTATTAGTAAACATCCAGAAGAGCAACAAGCTTTCAACAGAATCGTGCCAGTCTTAATTATATCAAAATAGGATTAATAAGACATATCGGCCCAACACTGTATGAAAGCCGAGCTCCCCTGGATGACATCACTCACATGTTCCATAGCAGTAGGTTAGGAGATTTAGTGAGGGTAGCTGTGGTACACAGACCCCGGGCAGTCTGGAGGTCGTCCTGGCCCACCGCATGGCCACAAGCCCTGTAGTCATGGCAACAAAAAACAAACAATAAAGGTGACCTGTAATTGTAACATTTGAGTAACAACTGTGACAACTTCAGAATAATATACCAGATACAGGAAGCTGTTTCATCAATATACTGATGTACAATTAATATTTGATAAGACAGAATACAGACATGAGTCCTGGGTCTTACTGAAGGAGCAGGTCCATGTTGTCGGGGAGGAGGGAGAGGAACTTGCTGTAGCTGGTGGTGTGATGACTAAGAGGCAGGCACGCCATGTACTGCTGGATTACCATGTTAACGTGGCGATAATCAAACCAGTATACCCCGTCACAGTAAGGCACCTCGTATTTAGTTGGAATGCAGCTCACTGCCCGCCGGACAAGGTCATAGAAACTTCGGGCCGTGTCGGGGCTCACAGTTCGCTGCAGTTTCAGCCTTCGATTTTGGAAGCCAATGTAGCTGAAAAACACCAAGACAGGGAAGCACATGGCAAAACATAATTAATCACAGTAGATCTGACAATACTTTACAAAATACACAGGTGCTACATCGATGTGTAATGACTTTTAAATATATATCAAATGTTAATGAGAAACTTCTTGGCATCAAAAGTTTTCATGATGACTGCCGCTCATTTGTGTAATGGAAATGAATACAACCTTAAACTTTCCCACACATTGGTGATATCAAGTCAAGAGTACCAGTATTATCATGACCATACAGGTGTAATATATCCCAAACTATTGGTCAGTATATTAACTTTGACCACACACGGGTGATACCTACTACATTGGTCAGTATACTAACCTTGACCACACACGGGTGATGTCTACTACACTGGTCAGAATATTAACTTTGACCACACGCAAGTTATGTCCACCATATCGGTCAGTATACTAACCTTGACCACACACGGGTGATATCTACGACACTGGTCAGTGTACTGAGAGCAGTTTCATACGTCTCTACTGCCTGGACATCATCCCCCTGCAGCTCCAGTAGTGTGCTGAAACATAAAACATACAGTAGTTATGCTGTGGTACGCTGTAATAACACATACATGTAGTACAAATCTTGGAACGTAACCCTCCAGCTTATGAATTGGTTTGATTTCTTTGTGTTTTACATCCTATTTATGAACAGCTATGGTCATTTAAGGATGTGCCAAGTTTTGGTGGTGGAGGAAAGCCGGAGTTCCCCGAGAAAAAACTACCGAACTACGGTCAGTACCTGGCGACTGCCCCAACCACTTGGCCACTGCGGCCCCATGACAGCTAATGAATACCCCTAAATCCCACCAGCTGTAGTGCCTGCTTCCTAATGCCTGTAAAAATATGGCAGATTAAACATAAATATCTGTTCAACTCCCATTGTCTATCATCAGGCCTAGCCAGGATGTTCATCCAATGTTTCCCTTTGAACATTTCAATTGAGTTTTTACATGAACATTTACCTGTGCCTGTATTATAATGGAAAACACTATAAATCTAGGTTTCTGAACAAAATATCATGTACAGATGTTAAATATTTTTTATTTAACAATATGACCGAGAGATTCAGTGATATATATCTACCTTCTATCTAGGGATCACAAACTTATCTACCTTCTATCTAGGGATCACAAACGTATACGTATCAACTAGGCAAGACAGCAGCTATATGCTAAAATTACCTAGCTTGAAAACTTTTTTCAAGAAATTCAAAGTGACAGGGTTTTAATTTTTCACATATGAAGTGAGTTGTCCCGTATTGTTTTATATATGGCTCTAATGGCCATGACCTGACCCAAGAGAAACACACAAAAGTGTTATAGAGCTTAGTTTTTACTAATATGTGACCTCCTCATTAAATAACACTTTTTTAAGGCATCAACAATGTCATGGATTACTGGGGGAAAAAACTTTGTTATGTGTTCTGTCCGACTACAACATACAGGTATTATGTCAGAGGTCTACACCTGTGTGTAGCAGGGTTAATATTAAGCCCCTGTACCACACAGTACTAAAGGAAAGGGTGCTATTAAGCCCCTATACCTCACAGTACTAAAGGTAAGGGTGCTATTAAGCCCCTATACCTCACAGTACTAAAGGAAAGGGTGATATTAAGCCCCAATACCACACAGTGCTAAAGGAAGGGTTGATATTAAGCCCCTATACCACACAGTACTAAAGGAAAGGGTGATATTAAGCCCCTATACCTCACAGTACTAAAGGAAAGGGTGATAGTAAGCCCCTATACCACACAGTACTAAAGGAAAGGGTGATATTAAGCCCCAATACCACACAGTGCTAAAGGAAGGGTTGATATTAAGCCCCTATACCACGCAGTACTAAAGGAAAGGGTGATATTAAGCCCCTATACCTCACAGTACTAAAGGAAAGGGTGATAGTAAGCCCCTATACCACACAGGACTAAAGGAAGGGGTGATAGTAAGCCCCTAGACCACACAGTACTAAAGGAGGGGTGATAGTAAGCCCCCACACAGTACAATGTTAGAACAGACAGTTCTCAACCGCTCCAGTCACATCATAGACACAATCATCAAATCAACATTTTATCACAAACCTGTTGAAATCTTATTATAGTAATACAAGCAATTTTCAGACCATGAAATACAACGTTCCTAAAGGAAGGGGTGATAGTAAGCCCCTATACCACAAGGGTGATATTAAGCCCCTATACCTCACAGTACTAAAGGTAAGGGTGCTATTAAGCCCCTATACCTCACAGTACTAAAGGAAAGGGTGATAGTAAGCCCCTATACCACACAGTGCTAAAGGAACGGGTGATAGTAAGCCCCTATACCACACAGGACTAAAGGAAGGGGTGATAGTAAGCCCCTAGACCACACAGTACTAAAGGAGGGGTGATAGTAAGCCCCCACACAGTACAATGTTAGAACAGACATTTCTCAACCGCTCCAGTTACATCATAGACACAATTAATCATAAAATCATAACTTTATCACATACCTGTTGAAATCTTGTTATAGTAATACAAGCAATTTTCAGACCATGAAATACAACGTTCCTAAAGGAAGGGGTGATAGTAAGCCCCTAGACCACACAGTACTAAAGGAGGGGTGATAGTAAGCCCCCACACAGTACCAAAGGAAGGGGGGATAGTAAGCCCCCACACAGTACTAAAGGTAAGGGCGATAGTAAGCCCCCACACAGTACTAAAGGTAAGGGGGATAGTAAGCCCCCACACAGTACTAAAGGTAAGGGAGATAGTAAGCCCCCACACAGTACTAAAGGAAAGGGTGATAGTAAGCCCCTATACCACACAGGACTAAAGGAAGGGGTGATAGTAAGCCCCTATCCCACACAGTACTAAAGGAAGGGGTGATAGTAAGCCACTATACCACACAGTGCTAAAGGAAGGGGTGATATTAAGCCCCTATACCACACAGTACTAAAGGAGGGGTGATAGTAAGCCCCCACACAGTACCAAAGGAAGGGGGGATAGTAAGCCCCCACACAGTACTAAAGGTAAGGGGGATAGTAAGCCCCCACACAGTACTAAAGGTAAGGGGGATAGTAAGCCCCCACACAGTACTAAAGGTAAGGGGGATAGTAAGCCCCCACACAGTACTAAAGGTAAGGGGGATAGTAAGCCCCCACACAGTACTAAAGGTAAGGGAGATAGTAAGCCCCCACACAGTACTAAAGGTAAGGGCGATAGTAAGCCCCCACACAGTACTAAAGGTAAGGGAGATAGTAAGCCCCCACACAGTACTAAAGGAAGGGGGGATAGTAAGCCCCCACACAGTACTAAAGGTAAGGGAGATAGTAAGCCCCCACACAGTACTAAAGGTAAGGGAGATAGTAAGCCCCCACACAGTACTAAAGGTAAGGGCGATAGTAAGCCCCCACACAGTACTAAAGGAAGGGGGGATAGTAAGCCCCCACACAGTACTAAAGGAAGGGGTGATAGTAATCCCCTATACCACACAGTACTAAAGGAAGGGATGATAGTAAGCCCCTATACCACACAGTACTAAAGGTAAGGGTGATAGTAAGCCCCTATACCACACAGTGCTAAAGGAACGGGTGATAGTAAGCCCCTATACCACACAGGACTAAAGGAAGGGGTGATAGTAAGCCCCTATTCCACACAGTGCTAAAGGAAGGGGTGATAGTAAGCGTCTATACCACACAGTCCTAAAGGAAGGGGTGATAGTAAGCCCCTAGACCACACAGTACTAAAGGAGGGGTGATAGTAAGCCCCCACACAGTACTAAAGGTAAGGGTGATAGTAAGCCCCCACACAGTACAATGTTAGAACAGACAGTTCTCAACCGCTCCAGTTACATCATAGACACAATCATCAAATCAACATTTTATCACAAACCTGTTGAAATCTTATTATAGTAATACAAGCAATTTTCAGACCATGAAATACAACGTTCTGTATTGCACATGTGCAATACGGAATGATGTATTTACCTACTAGCCGGAACTACCTTTTATGGAAATCCCCTTGTCATTGAAAACTGAAAAGTTCCCGGTATTTGCAAAAACGAATCAGAAAGCACGTGTGTATTCGCGGACGAATATATATACGTCCGCGCAATAAATGAGTGCTTTCTAATCCGTGTGTGGTCTTGCATATATATTCACTATCATCACACATACATAATACTCAATTTAATCAGAACCATGTATTGATGAGCTGACCAGAGTATAGGGCAGAAACAAACTGACCAGAGTATAGGGCAGGATCAAACTGACCAGAGTATGGGCAGAAACAAACTGACCAGAGTATAGGGCAGAAATCAACTGACCAGCTAGGGTATAGGGCAGAAACAAACTGACCAGAGTATAGGGCAGAAACACGATATATGTTGGATTAAGAGCAACAACACCACTGGTCAGAGGAATACCACCTTTGTACTTATGACTGATCACCCATTCTTCTTGACAAAACACATCAGTGTAATTCAAATTGACAGGAAAAAGTCTTTAAAACTCCACAGTAACATTTGCCATCTGTAAGCTGACAGGACTTCAAGGTAAATGGTTGTATAAAGATAAAGGGTTAAGGAGCCAGCAGGTGACAGAGCCCGAGGGGTGAGGTGAGAAACAGTCGGCCACATCCAGCATGTCACAGATTACTTATTAATTATGAAGGCGGTGTCACGTTTCAGAGCTCTGGCCCACTAGCTCTAGGGGGATACAGCAGATAGATCTGGACAAGATGTTGATGGATCAAAAGTCAACACTCCGCTCAAACTAATCACTTAAAGGACAACATCAGCAGCTACAAACAGTCAAACAAAATACCAGTAAAAGAGCGGAAACTACTAGAAATTTTACAACATTGTATTTGTATTCAATACACATTGTTTGAGGAGTTTATGTGATGTCGAACATAAACTATGTCTGATCAGTCATACAAAAACAAAATTCCTACTGTTTATAACTTACAATACAGTATTATATCCTAGGGCCTGGATAAGTGGCCATATATACAGAATAAAAAAATATAACACTGCACATTGTAATGACATAGGAATTAGATCTGAATTACTTCAATTGTCCTCCTGTACATTATATGCATTTCTACAGAAAAAATGGTATTTTTCTTGCATAATGGTAACTTTCTTTCAACATGTACGACATAGATTTATATAGTCTACTGTTAATGGCTGTAACACCTGTAATTAGTAGACCACGCACTCCTGTAAATAAGTGTACTGTAAGACCTGTAATTAGTAGAACACACTCCTGTAAATTAGTGTACTGTAACATATATAATTAGTAGAACACACACTCCTGTAAATTAGTGTACTGTCACATCTGTAGGTAGTAGAACACACACTCATGTAAATTAGTGTACTGTAAGACCTGTAATTAGTAGAACACACACTCCTGTAAATTAGTGTACTGTAACAGCTGTAGTTAGTAGAAAACACACTCGTGTAAATTAGTGTACTGTAACAGCTGTAGTTAGTAGAAAACACACTCCCGTAAATTAGTGTACTGTAACATATATAATTAGTAA